TGTTGGATCCCTGGCTTCTGGTTATCTCCGGGAGTGTCGATAAGACGACACGCACAGAAGGTTTATCTGGCGAGTATACCGCACGCAAAACTAAACTCAAATGAACAACCCTACCGCTCACCTCTCTTAAATACGATCCTAAGAGAGATGCGCAGTATCAAGCTTTAACAGAGTTCTTTCCTCTGACACAACAAGTACGAAGTTTGTTTCCGAGGAATTGAAAGTGAAAGTTATCCAACCTAGAATATCATCCCCTTGCTTTCTTCGAACTGCGACTCAAAACAACGAAGGACGATACTCTTTATGGTCCTTTTACTTACTAGAACTCATATTAGGATGTTCTGAGAATTCGCGACGATTATTTGAATTCCATCTCAGGCGTTGCTTTCATATCAGAATTGGTGGACGACAGCGACCATTAACTTTTGTCTCGCTTTGCTCTATGAATCTTCATAGAGTTACGTGACTGAGCCACACGGGACATTTGCTCCAGTTGAACATTGGAGCTATCTCCCAAATTATGGCCCTCGTACGAAATAGCAGGATGCTCCTTTCACTTCGAGACAAATGTACCACTCTTTCTGAGGACGCCCTTGCGATGTGCCGAGCCGCGAACTGGGCATGCGCGCGCCATTTTCGAGAAATGAGGCCAAAGTATCCATATCAGCCCTTTCTCCCCTCCCCCCCCCCCCCCCTCCTTCCTCCTGCCTGGTTACAAACCCCCCACCATCCCCATCGCGACGCGGCAAATTCTTCTTGAGGTAAATGCGCCTCCCTCTCCTAGCGACAAGCAAATGCGACCCCTACCCTCACTGGTATTATCCCAAGGATTGTGGATAGCGCTCGTTCGTTTGAAGCAGGAGAGTCAACTACAAAATGTTTTCTTATATTGATAAACCCCTTCCCTACAGTGCACCAAGAACGACCCCCGTGAGAACAAGGTCGGACCCTGGCCCTGTTCCATGCTTCCACCCGCACTATCCTTAATATGCAATGTTTGCGACGATACCGAGATCCCGCAGCGAATCACGCACGGTGGCAGGGAACCAGAAGTGACAGAGCGCAGACAGGTAGCGCGTTCGGAGAAGACCATCTGTGCTGGACTTGGACCTGCTGCACTGTTATGACACCGATTCGTACGAATCATCTTAGCCGCTACACTTGGCTGGTCAGCACAAAAGCCTCAGTCCCTCAGAAATAAATCAAGTTCGAGCAAGGGGTTCCCCATGACTTGACGGATTCTGAAATGTAGGTGAATACGACTGTGGGATTTTGCATACAGCTTCTCTCGCGGTTCAGCCATACGGATAGATCAAACAAACTTGTGATTTAATTTTTGTTCCTTTGTGAGATGAACTGTGAGATTAGTATTTCTGTTCGATCTTTAATTTTCCATAAAAAACGATGGAGAGCAAGGGATGGGGTACCACTTTCTAGGGTAACTCTTGAATCTGAGCAAAGGTCATATAAGCAGGCTGGACGTGTATAAAGCTTTCACATAACGGCCATAAAATGTATAAAAATTAAAATTAAAATCGAGATTTCACTGAGAAAGAAGTCGAATACGCTCGCAGGGCTCTGCGACTGCGGCATACTTTGTTCCTGCCCGCTAGGACTTAGGACTTCCCCCAGAGAGGTGCTACTTGTTACACTACTCGACCAATGAGGCACGTCCAACATTCTTTCAAAATTTTACGTCACAGCCCAAAAGTTCATAATGTTTCATTACATTCATTATTTATTCAATTTCACACCGTATTCAACAGAAACCACATTATACTGTGGTTGAGGTAAATCTGTACAAGCACAATGTCATTTCAACATAAATGTAGAGACGAATCCTCTGAGACCATCAGCTTTTGAAAATTCCTCTCAGTCCTGATGGGCGGCAGCCGAAAGGTTTGATGACGGCAGATAAATTCAAGGTAGTGCTCTGAGCAGCATCGTCTTTACTAGCCAGATCGAGTGACTGTTGCTCCTAAATGTGTCATTAAATCTGCTTCATCAATGAATTCATGGGCTGTTTGTGGAATTATTAAAAATGAAGTAACTGTGAACATCTGATCACGCCAAGTACGTACTAAGACTTGAAAAATATCCGTAAGTTCTCACGGGTGGGTAGGAAGCGAGAAAAAAGACACTTCGCTCATGGGGCACACTATCAAAATTTACGTCGTACTGGATGACAGGATTCACGAAAAAAACTAAGGTCAAGTACTACCGAGATGAGACAGCATGTAGGGTCGCTTAACTCCATTGCGGAAGTGGTCTTACACTAGATGAGTCTCGATAAAGGACGAACCTCCGATATTGGACTCTAAAGAGGAGATGCTAAATATCAGGCTCATCGCAGAATGCGGATTCGACGGCAACACCGCGGTCAGTTGCCAGTCTCAGGGCAGCTGAAGGGTTTTCTTGATCACCTACTTGGACCTCAACCTTTACTGAGAGGTACAGGTGAAGTACTAACGAGAGCATTGTAACAAAAACGCTTCGAAGTAGTTTTCTTCAAGACCTCACTGAACGGTCGCAGCATGTTCATGTGACTCTAGTTTAGCGCAGTCCAAGGATCCAGTTCCTGAGAAAGTGAAGGCACTGGATAACATAGTGCATGTTACACTAGAAGGTGTTAAGTAGCTCACGGAATTCTAAGCATTTCAAGAGAAATTGACCAAAAAGTGAGTATATTCGTGAGGAAAGTGACACGTGAAGAACGAACTTACGGGAGCAGCAGAAGCTGGACATGACTGACTAGCAGGAGAAGCTTTGATTGCAGGATTTTCGAAATAATAGAGCAGTTGACTCTAAATACAAAAACCATATGAAAATAGCACTGAAGAATGTCTTGCACTATGGACGAAGATCGTCAGTCGAAAGTGGCTATTTGTAAGAATGCAGGCCAACTAACGTCGGATTTGGAAGCTGATTTCGAAAATTTGCCATCAAATTTGCATGAACGACTTCATCTGAAAGGGAGTTATGGAGGTTTGTTCGAGATAAAAAAAGGAAAACACGTCGACATGCCGGTTGGCCAGGTTCACTTTCGACTTTATCACTAATACGTGGAAGCCTGCGCACGTTACATTGGCGCAGTGGTATAGTGCAACCAGAGCCTTATCGGCGACCCGAAATACTCAATGAAAGGGGTTTACAGTATTTCTGGAGGGGAAACTTAGTTTGCCCTTTTGTGGCGAAATAACTCTTTTAAGACAGGATGCTCAAACCAATGGAGTGCATTATTGTGTTCAGACGTGAGCAAAAATACCTTGGGTACTGGTATCTAGGCCAGATGTGAAGTTAACACATAACTTCGAGTTAAGATGCGGTGCAGGCTGTCGAATAGATGGTCACCTAATAGTTATCCAGGCCAGTCTCTTTACGATTTGCTTGTAATATGGAACATATTATGCTTTTAGAAAAATACAGAAAAACGGAAGCAGTAACAACCTGAATGCGTAAGTATAGAGGGAAGACAGGCTTTGTGGCATGGAAAAAAGGAGAATAATTGCAGCTGAATAGGTGGTAACAATCGAACTAAATGGAATGGATTTACATTGTCGCAGTCAGGTCAAAATGGGAAGATTTTGCTAGAAAACTCTACTATGGCGTATTCGCGACCCATAAAAATATGAATATGGCTACTACGCATCACCATGTGGACGTGAATTCTGCACTGCGCGCCAAGGAACAGTTACATCTAAAATACCTCCTCAAGACACTAAGGCACGATAAGCGCGCCGTGAAGACCGAACATAATAAATCGCCCATTTTTTTCAGCGCCAAAGTAAGGGGTACGATAAAATGTTACAGAAACGCCAAAGCAACCAAACTATTGCCAAATACGCTTGGTCCGGGAGCAAAAAAAATTAAGACACCAGCAGGGATATGATCCAACGAACTGTTCGTGCTAGACGCGTGAAAAGCTCAATAAAATCCGTTCAGAAAAATCTGTTCTAGCAAATTTCGAAAGGCAGATTCGAGATCACGTCCGAAATCAACGTCTAGTGAGGCTAATCTCATACCAATGCCACTTCGACAACCTGACGACTTCACTGTAAGAACTTCTTTCTTCTGAGAGAGTCATGTTCGGAAGAAATCTCGTAAAGGAAAAATTTACTATTTAGTCCTCCATGAGAGGTGCAAAACTATAAGCGAAATAATAATTTTGCATAAAACGAAAGAAAAAAAACGCTGACAAACTCATCAGAAAACTGCATTAGGTACAACAAATCGATGGCATGATTCTCGAAAGGCATTTTGAAAATTCCATGATTGTGCGATTGGCGCTTTGCGCATTTCATGAATCACTTGATAGAAATTGGCTATTAAGAAAAAGTGGCTGAGTTGTTCGGAAACCCTGCAGACACCCACTTATTTCAAGATTTGGCTAGGATATTCTTGACTCAAAATGTTCGAGATGAAGAGAGTAACCGTCACGCATGTAAGAGCCTTCGCAAAAACGGCTCGTAAAGCATGGACTGGATAACACATTGAATCATACTAAGCAAGTATTCTATGACGTCGCAAAAAAGTAAGCAATCAATCCATACTTTTCTCAGGAAATTTCCGGAACCCCAATTTCTCAAAGTGATAAGCGTGCCAAAGATCAATGGACCCATGCGCGTAAGGACTCTTGCAAAACGTCGAAGAAAAAGACTACAACTTAAATCCAAAAAAGACCCTCTCAAGTGTCGATTGCAAATGCGAGCTCTATTCGGATGCAGCAAAGGAGAACAAACAACAATTAAACATCAATTAATCAAGGTTGTGGGTTCTAAACTGGGTTTCATTGATTTTCGACAACCCAATGTTCCAGCGGGCACACTCTCAAGAAAGCTAAACGCGAATATTCTTTTTCGTACTAATAAGAGCATAGTTAAATGTAGACCACGCATAATAACACCAGTCTCACACGATAGCGGTATACTATTCAAAAGATGGCCCTTTTTTTCGAGACTACTCTGTGTACCTTTCAAAGTATTCAACATAAAAGTAGCCCTTCAATCGAAATAGGTTACATCGCGCATCATAGGCAATCGAATAACTCTAGACAACAAATGGGAGACCATGGAATCATGAACAAGATGTGAAAAATACCTGCGCACAAAGTAGGCACTACGTCCAGCAGGAATAATCGATGCGGATGTGCTTGGCGTAGTCTCTTAATGACATTGAATTACCTTATTATAACTGATTTCTTCATATAATACCATATACTATTCTACTGCACTGCACTGTTCTTCATAGAAAATGAAGGATCACCGGTTTTAGATTCGGAGCCGTACGCTTTCATTACTTCTTCGACAGTCCAACTCATATTCGCTTCATTTTTCAGCATCTTCGCAGAGCGGAATACCTATGAAGCACTCATGCGTTTCACCATAGTCATAGAGAAACTAATCACGAGGCACACAAAAAAGTAAAAAGAAGTTTGTTTTGCTCTCATTCTCCTAATCCAATTTCCGCGAACTACACAGCAAACGCACCTTGGTAGATGGGGATTTATTCAATGCAGTCATTGATTCTTCAGCTTTTGGTTGCTCACTCAATGAAGATGGTTTATTAGACGACTGCGAAGGTATGTCGGTGGACGACTGCGAACTATGAGGTTCAGAAGATTGAGTAGTAGAAAGCTCGCTGGATGATTGAGAGGATGTTGTTAGTTCAGTTTCACTTTCAAGATCAATACAAATAATCGAAACGTCAGCCTTGCGTCGTTTCCTTGACGGTGAATCAAACTGAAATATAGAAAAGTAAGATATCAAATAAAAAAACAAACTCGAAACTTCTGGACCTGAAAAGCTCCACAGTTCTTGTCCTTCCTCTTTCTTTTCTTCTTCCAAGCGTCTTTTTCGACTTCCACAACTTTCGTAATGGTCACACCAGACAGACCATTCAGGAATCTTTTCAGGCAAATAAAACTTGTCAGTAACTAGCTGACTAACTGATTGGTCCACCTGAAAATCTACACTACACAACTCCAAGTATCTTGTCAAAGTTGAATACGGTAGTAAACGCAAATACTATGAAAACGTTATGGAAGAAACGTCTGCAGTGACCAGATCTGTGATGTTCTTGGTTCTCGGTTTTCTACGAATAATTTCATAAAGTTTTTTTTTGGAATGCGGTGTTTGAATTGTTGAATATCTATTCTCTTGGCGCTCGAATATGGCACTTCTCACAATCCGGAGTTCAGCCAAAACAAGCAGTTTCTAGGGCTATGCCAGTGTACCTCTTTTGAAAGGGATGAAATTCGTATATTACCTCAACCCAACAATCCAAACCCTCCGAATTCCAAACATTCGCTATCTCATCACATGGACAAGCAAGTGGACGTTACCCCCTTCAAAGCGAAAGCCTTTCATCTCAAGAGTTCAGTCGGCACTGCAATTACTGCATTGAATAAATCCCCATCTCCAAGCAGTGCGGTTATGCTGCTGTAGTTTCGCGGCACTTTGATTTGGGTAGAATAAAGAGCAAAACAAACTTCTTTTTACTTTTTTGTGTGTCTCGTGATTAGTTTCTCTATGACTATGGTAAAACGCATGAGTGCTTCATAGGTATTCCGCTCTGCGAAGATGCTGAAAAATGAAGCGAATATGAGTTGGACTGTCGAAGAAGTAATGAAAGCGTACGGCTCCGAATCTAAAACCGGTGATCCTTTCATTTTCTATGAAGAACAGTGCAGTGCAGTAGAATAGTATATGGTATTATATGAAGAAATCAGTTATAATAAGGTAATTCAATGTCATTAAGAGACTACGCCAAGCACATCCGCATCGATTATTCCTGCTGGACGTAGTGCCTACTTTGTGCGCAGGTATTTTTCACATCTTGTTCATGATTCCATGGTCTCCCATTTGTTGTCTATAGTTATTCTGATTTCCTATGATGCGCGATGTAACCTATTTCGATTGAAGGAGCTAATTTGTTATGTACGAATACTTTGAAGCGGTACACGAGTGGTCTTCGAAAAACAGGGTCATTCTAAAGTTGCGTCCTTTATTGCGGGTGAGCTGGTACTGTGGAGCATTATGCGTGTACAGTTACCATGGCTCGTATTATTCGTAAAGAATTTTCGCTGTATAGAGCTCTTGAGAGTGTGCCCGCTTGTAACTGGGTGTCGAAACCCAGTTTCAGGAACCCACAACCGTAATTAATGGTTGTTTTTATTGTTGTTCTTCCTTTTCTTCACCGAAAAGAGCCGCATTGCATCGAACAGTGAGAGGGAAGCTCGTATTATGGGTCAGTTCTTCTCAATTGCAAGAGCCTTTTACAGCGCAGGAGTCCATGAGTTCTTTGCCGCTACACTGAGAAATTGTTCCTGAAATTCGAGAAAGATGGATGTGTAGCTTTCTTTGGACCAAAGAATCACTCATTATTTTGATATCGACTTGGTCTTATCCCATGCATCCATGGCTTACCCGACCTGTTTTAGCGAAGCCTACATCGTGCACGCCTAACTCTCTCACTCGAACACTGGTCAGAAATTATTCTATTATTTTGTCAAATAAAGTGGGCTGCAGTGGGTCCGAACACAGCCACATTTCTAAAATTCCATATTCTGATCATGGATCAGGGAATTCACCAAGGTCCGAATCTCACATCATAGACTCAAATTTTTTCGTAAGAATCCATCGCCTCTGATTTGGTTCCAATTGACAGGTTTCTGAGAGTTTCAGCGTTTTTTTTTCGTATGACAAAAATATATCGCTATAGTTTTTGCACTCCTTTCATGGGAGGGAAATAGAGAATTTCGTTACGAGCAGTTCTTCCGAAACATGCTCGG